AGCCTGACTGCCTCTGAGATTCTGTCCTCTCTTCTGCTTCTTACTCTTTCAGAATTGGCGTGATATTTAAATGGTAAAATATGTGTATACGAGTCTGCATTAGTTTTAATTTAGCCTATACAGTATTAGTGTTGTGAGGAGTGTCTGGGGGATCTGTATGAGGGTCTGTATTCATTTTTCTGTGTGAGGAGTGTCTCTGGGTCTATATTGGGGTCTGTATTCATCTCTCTGTGTGAGGAGTGTATTAGGGTCTGCATTCATCTCTCTGTGTGAGGAGTGTCTGTGGGATCTGTATGAGAGTCTGTATAAATGTCTCTGTGTGAGGAGTGTCTCTGGGGTCTGTATGAGGGTCTATATTAATCTCTCTGTGTGAGGAGTGTCTCATGAGTCGAGTCTGTTTTAGGGTCTGTTTTGATGGTGGTGAGTTAGGTGTGACTTTGGGGGTATATAATAGGGTCTGATTTAATCTCTTTGTATAGCATGAGTTTATTAGGGTTTTTGTTATTCTGCTCCTTGTTATGTGTATCTGTTCACTTAAGAATTTCTTTCAGTTTAATTTACAACAAGGAAACATTAAATTAAAGGCTTTTCACGTTTAACTGCTTCTTGTGTGTCTGGAAAGTATGTGTCTGTATAAGTTTTCAATTAAGATGTGTCTGCATATTCATAGATAAAGGGTATTGCAAAATATGCTTGTTCTCCTTCTAGGGAGATGGAGGGGGACCCCTGGTCTGCAAGCAGGGCTCTTCCTGGATTCAGGCTGGTGTTGTAGGTTTCGGAGAGGGTTGTGCCCAGCCCAGTCTCCCAAGGGTGTACACCAGGGTGTCCCAGTACAAGGACTGGATTAATGAGCAGGTTGGGTCGGCCAGTGTGGGCTTTGTGACCTTCACTTCCAATGGCACAGACCCTGACAGCAGTTTTAATTGCATGCCGAACATTACTACCAAAGCACCTGTGACCACCCCTCCTTTTACACCAGCAGCACCTGTCATAATACCAGTCGGTAAGTGACAATCCACTCCCACTGTTCATCCGTTAGGCTTGTTTGACTTCCGTAAGTAGCAGATGACTCCTTCCCTTTATGTCTCTGCCCAATTCCTCCAGTGTGTGGCTGGGCAGTTCTCAGCAGCAGGAGTGTGGGGGACCACTCTGTCCAGGAGGGGTACTGGCCCTGGCAGGCTAGTCTGCACCT